ACAAGCATCCTGGCCTGTATGAGAAATAGTGTGGCCAGCAGGACTAAAGAGGTGATCGTCCCTTTGTACTCAGCACTGGTGAGGCCACACCTCATATACTGTGTCCAGTTTTGGGCCCCACACTACGAGAAGGACATTGAGCTGCTGGAGCATGTCCAACGAAGAGGAACAAAGCTGGTGAAGGGCCTGGAGAACAAGTCTTATGAGGAACAGCTGACGGAACTGGGTTTGTTTAGCCTGGAGAAGAGGAGGCTGAGGGGAGGCCTGATCGCGCTCTATGACGACCAGAAAGGAGGTTGTAGCCGGGTGGAGGTTGGTCTCTTCTCCCAAGTAACCAGTGATAGGACGAGAGGAAATGCCCTCAAGTTGCGCCGGGGGAGGTTTAGACTGGATATTAGGAAGAATTTCTTCACTGAAAGGGTTGTTCTGCATTGGAACTGGCTGCCCAAGGAAGTGGTTGAGTCTCCATCCCTGGAGGTGTGTAGCTGTGGTGTTCAGGGACATGGTTTAGTGGTGGGCTTGGCAGTGTTAGGTTCATGATTGGACTCGATGATCTTAAAAGTCTTTTCCAATATAAGCGATTCTATGATTCTAAGACCTGCCTGCCAGAATTAGGTTTATTTATAAAAATCGTATCACCAGGGTTGCGTAATTTCCTGGCGGTGTTACAGCCCTAAGCACCTGATTTTTGCAGTAGCAGAGATCTGTCCCCACAGAGCGTAGTAGTTGGAGCTTTGCTCATACACCACGCTTCCAGCCGACACCTGACACACAGTGTTTTCTGAACTGAGAAATTCGGCAAGCTAGAGCACCCAAGTAATGCTCTTTCCAGATGGCTGCTCATCAGTGCAGTGCAGTGTCAACTAGCCACGTAGCACTGAGACAATTAATAAATTTGGATAAATGAGGGAATTTACAAAATAATTAAGGGACCTTGGAGATGACACATTTTCAGGCAACAGGATATTTTGTATGATTACAGTTTGTGTAATCAAGGCTCTGTTGTGTATGAAAGTTAATGAGTGTAAATTGAGAAGGAGAGAGGAAGCATATTGAGAACAATGTTGTACATAAGCTCCATAGGTATTACTGAGATGTTGATTTGCCTCAGACAGTATACATCTGGAACATATTACTCTAGCTCTCAACTCTAGTCAGAGAAGTCCAAAGGAAGTAAAGGAGATTTGTTCCAAGCTAAAAAAAAAAATAAAAAATTACAGAGCTAATTTGTATTTGAAAAAAAAAACCCGCTGTTAACGAGTATTGAATTATTCAAAAAATGAAATATAATGACTATTTAAATTGGTTTGGGTACATCGTAAGTAATGCATTATATACGCCATCAAGAAATAACCACAAATTCAGGTTACGGAAGCAAGCAATGTAAAAAAATCAAGGTGTAGCAAAAAAAATCTGGTGGCACTTTATCTGAAACTTGAAAATGTGCCCACTCTATACTTCCAGATTCCCAAGGTGAGCCCTGTAGAATGTTATTTCCCCGTCCTTGTTATTTCTGTGGCTATAAACCTTGAGTTTCACATAGGAGTTACTTGAGTAAGTGCTTACTTGAGTAAGTTACTTAAGTGCTTACTTTCCTTCCAGAACCAAACCTGAGTCTTAAGTTGATAATGATATATATTGTGCTGTTCGCTACAAGAAGAGGTAAATGGCATGTGAAAGAAGCAAACCGTTTGTGGTTAGGCTGTCATGGGTTTCTTTTTAGGGAAACCAATTGGTTAGGACTTGGCAATGTGTTTGTGAGATCTTTAAGATACTATATGATGGGATAAACAGAATGTAAAAAAAAAAAAGATCAACATGATTCTAGCAGTGTACAAGGAAGATGGAGGAAAGGTAATTCAAGCTATTGGTGTCAATATGATTTATTGTATTAAACTTAAATATAACATTGAGAGGTGCTGCAACTCTCCACCATAACTGTACTACTGAGTAGCATAAAACCAAATCATTACATGATGAAAACAAAAAACCCTCTTTTCCTTTAATTTAATTTAGATTTATAGTTATGAATGGTATCCATGCAGGTTAATCTAATTTTTTTAACATGAAGTATGTAATAAAGCTGCATCATTTTCCAGTACAATTCCCCACCTATAGGCAACTTAATACTTCATTCCAAAGTAGTCTAGCAGTCTTACTCTCACAGAGTGAGATCTGTGCTGACTAAATACTACAAAGAACCAATATATTCACAGGGTAAATTAGGTAACTCTTTCTCTGGTGGTTACTGGGTTTAACTATTGTTTCATTGGCAGACTAAATACATTGTTATGATATCCTAAAGCTTTATTTAAATCTGTCTTCCTCCATGATGGCTTTATGATACTTTCAAGGGGTAGAAATGGGATGTAGTCATTGCGTATGCATGTTTTAAAACAAGTTGTGCAGATGGACTCAAGTTTGACAGGTGAAACATTTTAATAGGTTTTAAATAGTGTATGTGTGTGAGAAACAATGCAAAAAACTTAAATTCCTGTCAGAATAACTCTCATGGTAGAAATTTAGGGCTTTGGGTTTCCCTGTATGTGTGAGCTTGGAAAACTGTTCCTGTTTCTTTGCTTATCTGTATTGTTTTCTTCCATAAGCAGATTTCAGACAGGAGCGTCCCACTGAAAGAAGCAGCCCTGTATTTGGCCATTTATTTCAATACTTCAGTTCTGCCTAAAAGCTTGAAAAGTAGAAAATACTGTATTTTCCAAGTGGTTGTACAGCAAATATTCCGTTTCAATTGGCACCTGTTTCTCTGGCATTCTGTGTTGCAGAGACACTGGAATTCCAGGTAGTGATAGACACTGTCCATTGAAATAGTGAGTCGTGGCATTGTGTTATGTTTTCTAAAGCACTAAAACCAGTTTATTACAGGCAATTGTCATATTTTCTTTGTCCATCGCTTTTTATTGTTTGAAGTAGACTATTCGCCTTTTGGTGATGCAAAAATTAAATAATTTGTTGTTCATGTGATATCTTGACCCATATTTTAATTTTTTTTTTATTTTTTTTCATAGGTCCTCCCATGCCATCCTCCTCATCTAGTCCATCAGTTACTGAACATTTACACTCCCCTCCTCCATCACCCAATCTCCATGACAACCAGAGGTGGTTATTAAGTAATAATGCCAGCCAGCCAGTTCAGGACTCTGATACAGATGAGGACTATACTGCCAGCTCATATCTAGTACAGACCGGTACTATTTCAGTGTCTGTCCCAGGTCATGGTAAGAAGAGGACGCTTTGTCCATAGTTTGAATACCCTTTTATTTTTCATCCTCTTACAAAATTGCCTAATAAAAATTAAAGGTATCAAAATGACTTTGTATTTTAAACTGATTTTCCTTTAAATGTCGCAAATGATGTTTCTACTTTACTTTAAGATAAGCAAGACTAGAGAGTAACTTCTAATATATAAAAGCTCATTTAAGTTATTTTAAAATGCAATACTTGTATGAAGCAATAGGCATTAATGATTGATTGTGTAATGTAATTTGTAGCAAGTGACTAGCCTTTAGTTATACTTTTTAAAGGGTAGGGTGGAGTTGCTTAAGCTGTCATGATGTTTAGCTTCAGAATAATGTAAAAGTTATCTTTTACTACCTCATCAAGTTCAGCAGTTTCCAGTCATTCCTTTAGTTTGCCTGGGACAGGAGAACGGGATTTGTACGTTACTGGATAGGACACTCTAGGCTGAGGAAAGAGATCTAGAGGAGGAGAGCTGTGTGGTGAGATAAGGCAACAGTGGCTCCTGAGATATGTGTTTCCATGGTTTTCATCCTCCCGACCAGTATGAGTAACCAAGAGGAGTGATGTACTTGAAACACCAGTGCCAACTTACACCTCATGCCCTAAGAAACCACATTTTTATTTTTTTTTTAAATATAAAAAATAATAGACCCAGGGTTCCGTTTTTGTTGTATGAATGAACAGGTTTTCTTGGAGTAGGCAGACTGGAAGAATCATTTGTTAATTCACAGCCCTTTACAGTAGATCAGCAAAACTTGGAATGAGCCTCTTCATTTTCTAAGAAGCATTTGTCTTTTGACTGTAAAGAACTCTCCTACAGATGAACCGCTAGAGGGAGTTTGGAGAAATATTTTCCTGCAGGTTGCACATCAGTTGGAGGGACAGAATTGTTCTGCAGAATGAAAACACTAGCTTTGAGCTTCTCCTCCTAGCTTTGAGTGCAACTTTGGTGTTGTGTCTAAAAGGCCAGTCTGCTAGGAGCAGTTGTGTATGCGAATTTGGCCATATTAGGGGCTTGGATTAAGATTTATAAAACTAACAATGATATATTTATTTTTGCATATTCAGCTTGCTCAATATTTAATCTGTGAAGAACTCCGAAAAAATGGGAATACATTGTCACAATCAGGGTATGTTAGGAAGATGTCTCCTTTCCTTTATGTCTAGGAATATGAAATCTATTAGAAAATGTGTGCGTTATCCAAAAGGTAGCCTGGTTTAGTTCAATAAGTCAATACATTTAGATTACTGAATCCACCAACCCTTCCTCTACAAATGAAAAAATGCAAAAGCAAGAGAAAGGTGCTGAAAATTTTGAATAGTTGGGATGAACTCCTTACACCTCCTAGCCTCTTAGGAAGCTAGTAAGTGTTCATCATCCCTCTAGGTTTTAGCATTTTGCTGCTTCTGAAATTTTGAACAGTTGCTTACCAGTTTGAGTTTGCCAACCTTGAGAAATGTTCCTTAACCCCTTTCACCCCAGACTAGCCAAAATAATTTCAGCTAGTCCTATGGCAAGTCAAGTCTTGGCCTTTTAGCAGGACAAAATAAGGGGATTTTTGATAACAAGCAGGAGAGAAGTTAACACCATCATGTATGTTGAGAGAGTTGTTCTTGGTAAGACTTGCTAAGCAGAAGGGAAACCTAGCTTACTCTGTAAGTACATGTTCATTCCCTTCCCTCTCTTTTCCCGCTCTGCTACCATCTCCTCTATCTGCAGATGTCTGAGGTTCACCCCTTCAGTGTATAAGTGCAGGAGAAGTGTTTGCAGTTTCTGCTTCCTGCTGCCAAAGAATTAAATCAATGATATATATACACTCATCATCTAGTAGTGCTGGCAGTCATGTAACACAACTACTGATATTTCTCTCTCTACAAGATTAGACTTGTTTTTAGAAGTGCTACAACTTGCTAACCACGGATACTGTATTTGTTATTGTCGTAATTTAAGTAGGGTTTGTTTGCTTTTCTGCGGGGAAAAAAAGACCACAGGTGTTCTGGAAGTGGGCGTCCATCCCTGCAGTCAGCTGTACGATCGGGGTTTGCATTACTTAAAGAAAGGATGCTTTCATCCAGCACATGTGTGAATATTGCTTGGAATATCTACTTGATTTGCTTATAGTTGGTTTCTCATATCTTACACTGTTGGCCTATTGATGGGGAAAAAAATATGTTCTTTGTAAAAGAGGCAAGAGCAGAATTTAATAATTAAGCTAATAATTTCTAAGTTAGCTACAACTTTCTTCTACTCGATGATTTGCATTGTCGTGTAGCCTTTTTATCAGTATGTGGATCTCTCCAAATCTACAGTAGAAAGTTGTAGCTTTTTTTTTGTATCATTTAATCATGGCCTTTGGTGCAGTCTTACTTGAGTATTGTATTTTCTTTAGCTAAAATAATAAGTAATACAGCATGTGTAGCACTTTCACAGAAGGAAGGGGTTTTTTTTCACCAGTTGTCTTTTCTTTTGCATCTGAATGAATTAAGCTTTCCGTGCTATCTAATGTTAATGGGTACAAAATAACTCCGGTGCCACATTCTGGATGACTTTGTCCAATGTTTATATTGCCGGGGGTGAGGGATCACTTTTGAAGCATTTAGGATAAAAAAAGTACTGACCAAAACCAATTATATTATTGAAATGTTTTCATTTATATTGACTTTATGTGAATAGCAAGTTAAATTACCCTCTCTTTAGTCTATGCAAACATCTGTCTATTTTCCTTTAGTCTGAGTTCATTTGATCAATGTAGTTTATTTGATCAACTCCCTCAAAATTTAAAAAATATGATTATGTATTTAGAGTGATACTAATCTAAGCCTTTGGGTTTGATTAGTTTGTTTGGTTAACCAATGGGAATTAGCTTTCATTTGAGGAATTAGCTAAAAGAGAAATGAGAATTACTAAAAACAGTTATCAAATGCTTACCACATGAAAAGAAAAGGTCTTCATGGACATATTGGTAGTAGCTTTAAAAATTCAGATCAAGTGAGGACTGTGGTGGACGGTTTGCTAGGAGTCATTTTACTTCTCTAAAACCAGCGTGTTAATAGGTTCTAAAATTCAGAAGGCTGGGAACACTCAGTCATAACTGTTCCTTTATTATTCGATTATTCTACTTGTTCCTCTTCTCCACAGTGCAACTCAGTATACTGACTCTGTTCCAGCAGTTAGCCTATTTGTCTACTGATGTCAGAACAATTTACTAGTTTTATTGTTTTTAGAAAGAAGAGTGAACTGGTTTATAAGAAACAGGAGCATCTGAATAGGTCTGCAGGGAAGACAGAAACAGTTGTTTAAGCGAGAGGGAGAGTGAACTAGGAGCTGGAAGGAGAAGATTCTTAAATGTGACTGAGGTAGAGAGGGTTTCTTGATGTAATAAAGTCTGCTTATAAACAATAGAAGTCATGTAAAGTCTGTATTTAAGCATCTTGATAAGCTTCTTAATCTTTTTCCACCAAAAATTATAGATTAGTCAGAATTTGGAGGGGAATTTATTGAAATTAATAGTAGCTTATCTTTCAATACAGACATCTATTATAATGAGAAATACAGTGCTAAATTCTTAGGTTAAGCAGAGACTATGAAGAAGAGATACAGTTAAATGTTAATGCTTACTGCTGACAATGGAGATTAAGAGTCTGAATTAGAAATTCAAATCGGAAGATTTTTACCCCCTAAATTGGAAATATTATGGCAGAACCATCAAATACAAAATAGAGAAAGATGTATTTCACAGCAGTATTTGAACATTTAAGTTGTACCAGGTTCTCATGTTTCTTAATAACACTTTGTGATGATAGTTCATCTGATGGGAAGATCTGAAAAAAATTTCGATATAATATAAAATGTTTTTCACTTGTCCTTGACCAAGGGTCTGCCAGGTGATGCACAATGAACAAGATTTTGCTCCAGCCATGTGGGAGTTGCAGATTGATAGGCTTTTCAGTTCAAAATGGCTAAGCTTTCCTCCAAGGAGAAGAAATTTGGAAATCTAGAGCACAGCTCTGAATTTCAATTTGTGAAAGAGAAAAAGTAATCTAATAAGGCTGGTTGAATGATAACATACAAGAACTCTCCATATTCAGAGGTCTTGTTGTAGGACATCTCACTCTACAGACACCAAATGTTCTGTGGCATAATGCTCCTCTAACATAATTTGAGGACTTTTGTTCATGATGACTCGTTAGAATTTGATGGGACAGCTTATACAAAAGTATCTGTCATACAGGAATGATTCCTATTTTGTCATACCACAGTGTCAAGAAACCAAAGTCAGAACCTTCTGCTTTTGTACAAGTGCTTGAGAGAATACAGGCTAAATGCTCAAGTCTGGCAGCAGTAATGACCAGATGCAACCCATGTACAAAGCATAGGTGTGAATTTTGTTAGGGATTTGTTTGGGTTTTTTTACACTTCACATTTTCCCTCCAACTATTGTGTTTTATTTTTCTGCATAGATACCTCAATTAATGTATAATCACCATAACTAAGCAATCTGACATTTCTTCTTCTCCTCAATTCTGCCTTTTCCTTCCTACCAGAAGCAAATGAAATTGAAGTGTGAATGGAAGTACACACAGGGATTTGTGTTAAAAGTTAGTGGAAGAGGCAAGTGACTTCCAAACATCTTTTCCTCCTTTGCAGCTCTTGTTCCCCCTTTATACCCCACTGGCTTGTGAGAAGGCTGGAAATAAGCGGTGAATATTGAAAAGGCCCACAGCAAATTAAGTCAGTCTTAGCCAACATCATGGAAGTACTGCATGTAACTTTCTGACCGTCCTGCTTTAGTGCCTACGAAACACTTCCCAGCCTTAATCCCATCCCTGCTTTGCCATAGTTGTACCACAAGGGAAACTGTATGTGCTACTGAACTAGAATTTAGCAGCCAGGCTGTCACCTGCCGCATAGTCAGCAGCAGTTTAGTTGTAATTATTGGGGGAACAAAAGCGGGGGGG